AGAAAAAGATTGTTTTGAGCAACCATCCTTCGAAAAACCATCTTTTTCTCGAGAAAAAGATGGTTTTACCAGGAGAAGACCTCCAAAAACCATCTTTTTCTCGAGAAAAAGATGGTTTTACCAGGACAAGACCTCCAAAAACCATCTTTTTCTCGAGAAAAAGATGGTTTTTCCAGGACAAGATCTCCAAAAACCATCTTTTTCTCGAGAAAAAGATGGTTTTTCGAAGAGCGGCTGCTCAAAAACCATCTTTTTCTCGAGAAAAAGATGGTTTCGAACCAAAAAAACCATCTTTTTCTTGAGGAAACCAAAAAAACCATCTTTTGGAGGCCCCAGCCCCATAGTTTTGGAAAAGATGGTTTTTTTGGTTTTTTTTGGTTTTTTTGGTTTTTTTGGTTTTCTCGAGAAAAAGATGGTTAAGTTTTAGGGGTTTAAGCCTCATGCACTACAGGGTTATAAGGTTCTAATCCTATAGGTATTGCCTTAACCTTTAACCCTAAACCTTTAACTTTAAACCCTGCAGGGTTAACCCCGTGAGAAATTTAGAGATAGACCCCGAAAAGACCCTAAACCTTCTTACAGGGTGTAATGGTTTAAAAACCGATAGGACATGTATACCTTCAGCGCCTGTAGGGTTCAAGCCTTTGAACGTGGGTTTAGGATTAAGGCTTAAATGCCCTCTAGGTTTAAATGCCTAAGTCTTAAACCCCAAACCTTTAAACCTTCATCCTATGGGGTTTGAAGGTCAAGGGTTTAGGCTTGATTGCCGAGGGCTTTAGGGTCCTGACCCTAGAGGGTTTAGGGTTAAGGAATAGATGCGTAAACCTTAAACCCTTAAGGTTTAAACTCTATGGGCTTAGGGGGCTTAGGTTTTTTTAAACCCTAAGCCTTTAAACCTTCACACTACAGAGTTTAGAGGTGTTAAGGGTGACAAATTGATTACATACTTAGCTTTAAATGCCTGAATCTTAAACCCCAAACCTTTAAACCTTAACCCTATAGGGTTTAAAGGTTGAGGGCTTAGTGTTAATCGCTGTCTTGGGTTTAAATGTCTGAATCTTAAACCCTAAAACTTTAAACCTTCACCCTATAGGGTTTAAAGGTTAAGGGTTTAGGTTGAATCGTCAGCTTGGATTTAAATGTCTAAGTAAAGAATCCTAAACCTTTAAATCTCATCCCTATGGGGTTTAAGGTTAAGGGTTCAATATGAACTGCCGGCATAGGTCTAAATACCTAAACCTTAAACTTAAACCCTAAACCTTTAAATATCTTAACCCTATAGGGTTTAAAGGTTAGAGGCTTAGCGTAAATTGCCGGAATAGGTTTAAATGCCTAAATCTTAAGCCCGAAACCTTTAAAACCTTAGCCCAACAGGGTTTAAAGGTTAAGGGTTTAAAATTAGTTGCAGGCTTAATTAGGTTTAAATGCCTACATCTTATATCCTAAACCTTTAAAAATCTTAACCCTATAGGGTTTAAAGGTTAAGGGCTTGGCTACAGGTTTAAATGGCTAAATATTAAACCCTAAGCCTCTAAACTTTAACCCTACAGGGTTTAAAGGTTAAGGGTTTAAAATTAGTTGCAGGCTTAGGTTTAAATGCCTACATCTTAAACCCTAAACCTGTAAAAATCTCAACCCGATAGAATTTAAAGGTTAAGGGCTTAGCTTTAATTACCGGCATAGGTTCAAATGCCTAAATCTTAAACCCTTAACCTTTAAACCTTAACCCTACAGGGTTTAAAGGTTAAGGTGTTTTTTTTGCAGGCTTAGGTTTAAATGCCTAGATCTTAAATTATAAACAAAAGCCAACAGAAAGAAAAACCCTCCGTGCGTGTGTGAGAGGGTGAATTAAGGAATACAGTCAAAAATCCGGTCACCGGAAAATCACCAGACAGCATAGGTTTTATCGGTATTTGCGGTACTTTTGCAAAGATCAAGGCCCGCGGTGGGTCCATTGGGGGGGGGTGACCATATATATATATATATATATATACATATATATGAATATATATATATATAGATATATATACATGTAATTATTTATTTACATAATGACTTACTTGCTCTATTTAAACCTTTTACGATTTCGGTCCCTCTCCATCGGCCACCGGTGATTTTACGATGATATCGGTCAATTGGCGGCAAGCCCTAGAATTTAGGGTTCAGGCACCCAAGTTTATCATTCAAAGCCTAGGGTTTGGGTTCCTCGGGTTTAGGGTTTAGGGTTCAAGGGTTAGGCTTCAATCCCTCGGGTTTAGGGTTCAGGCCCTAGACTTCAGGGTCCGGCCCTAGGGTTGAGGGTTCAGGCCCTAGCAATGAGGGTTCAGGCCCTGCGGTTTAGGGTTCAGGCCCCATGGTTTAAGGTTCAGGCCCTGGGGTTTAGGGTTCAGAGCGTAGGGCTTCAAGAACGGTTTCGGGCTTAAGGACTAGGGTTTAATGTTCAGGGCTTAGAGTTTAGGGCGCAAGTAAGAAATCACTTTGATACGTTCTTAATGTTATGGGATTCTCTGGGTGGGTGGGTGCTTCTCCACCACATGATGAAAAAGCTCGAGTAGTGAAAGCTAGCACATGAGATGCTGAACCCTGAACCCTGAACCCCAAACCCTAAACCCTAAACGGAAGCTAGAAGAGAGCATGCTGCAAGGATCCTTGAGAGCTGGTGCTCGAGACCCGCTAAGACTCTGAGGGGCAGCGGAAGCTTGGGGTTTAGGGTTTAGGGTTTAGGGTTTAGGGGTTCAGGAACAAAACCTGACTGAGACGGGCACCTGGCTGAAAAAAGCGGAGCCCAGCAGGTGTGTGCCGATGCGCGAGACCTTTGCAAAGCTGGTTTAGGGACTAGGGTTTAGGGTTTAGGGTTTAGGGTTAAGGGTTAAGGGTTAAGGGTTAAGGGTTTAGGGTTTAGGGTTTAGGGTTTCCTTTAACCCATAACTCTGTTAGCCTAAACCCTAAACCCTAAACCCTAAACCCGAAACCCTAAACCCTAAACCCGAAACCCCAAACTAGCTACAATCCTGTGTTACCCTACAAGCCTAGAACCCTGAAGCGTTTAGCAAGGGCTTTTAATTCAGGTCCAAATTTTCTTAGGGGCCCAGGCTTACCCGTGGCCCAAACCTAACCCCTAAGCACTTGTAAGCCCTTGTAAATGCCTTTCTAAGGGTAGTTACATGGTCCCTTAATATGGGCGTTTAAAGGGGGTCCACTTATCAATCCCGTTTATACCCTACAAAACCCAAGGGCCCATACTTTAGAGCCCTTTAAAGGAGGTAGAGGACCATATGAAGCGGCCGTTACGACCCTAAGGGCCTTGATCCCTGAACCCTAAACCCTAGACCCAAAACCTTTCAAAACTCTAAAGGGCCCGATGGACGTGCGAGTTGGATTCCTCAGAACAAGGTCCCGACGAAGGCCTAGGGTCTTTCTGAGCCTTAGGGTTTAGGGTTTAGGGTTCAGACCCTAGCCCTAACCCAAAACCCAAGGGTTTAACCCAAATGCCAAGAGCTAAAGCCAAAACAAACCCTTACTTAAGCAGTATGGCTTCAGGGGTACGGGCGAGTATATCACTAAGATCCCAGAGCTTACAGGTAGGTTTAAAGGGTTTAGGGACAACCATGAACTGCGGTTTAGAGTACCTAAACCCTAAACCCCAAACCCCAAACCCCAAACCCTAAACCCTAAACCCTAAACCCTGAACCCCTAAACCTCCGGGCTCTAGCATCCCGACGTAGCAAGAAAGCATGTCCGAAGCGTCTTGAAACTCCTCGGTCGACTGCGCAACCAGAGAGCCCTTCAAGCCACTGAAGCCCACTGCCTGCGGCCAATGACCTCCACACACCCTATGAACCCCACAAAGCCGAAAAAAAAAAAAAAAAACTATCCAAAATGTGTTCAACCCCCGACAATCGCTGAGAATCATAGCAGGGGTTTGGGGTTTAGGGTTTAGGGGGCGGCCGAGACGCAAAGAAGCGCCGCAAGAAGTTGTCAAAGACGTCTGCCAGGCCTCCGCCAAGCCGCCAACCCGATTCCCATGCCGGAACAGCTCCCGACGCCCAACTACACAGGGTTTAGGGTTTAGGGTTTTGGGGTTTAGGGTACCTCATTATAATGTACCTGGGCCCTAAAGTCCATAAATAGGAGGTATTGTTAAGCCCAAGTACTCCATATTTAGGTACATGGACCCTTAGGGACACCTTATAAGGTCCTTAAGGGAGGGGGGGCTCAGGGATATATCCCAAGGTTCCCAACTACTCCTCGAGCCCTAAGTACCTAGCCCCCCATGAAACCTCCCCGAAGTACCTATAAACAACATTGAGCCCAAAACCTAACCTGAATTCCTATAGTCTTGCCCTGAAGAGCCGACCTGCAACGCTGGAGGAGGTGGGGGGGCGGGCGGGGAGAAACACCAAGGATGAGGATAAACAAGAGGTCGAGGGTTTGAGGTGTAGGGCATACACAGGCAAGGTGTCAACTGCCCGCTTCCTCAGCAGATCTTCAGAAAGCGACGGCCACCATCGCACACGAGTTTTGTTGTAGGTTTTACGTGCTTCGGCTCCCCCCAAACCCTAACCCTAATCCCTAAACCCTAAATCCTAGACCCTAAACCCTAAACCCTAAACCCTAAACCCTAAACCCCAAGCCCAAATCTGAGATGGTAAAGGCATCTGGAGTTGGTGTCCTCATGTGGATTTATCGGATTGCTGTGTTGGGACCGTAGAGTCTTGGGGTCGAGCTGTAGCTCGAAGGGTTAGGCTGGGGAATTGCCATGTTTTTTGGGGTTTAGGGTTTAGGGTTTAGGGTCTAGGGTCAAGGGTTTAGGGTTTAGGCTTCACTGGAGCCAGAGGTCAAGACTCCTAAACCTCCCAGGCTTATGACTAACAACTGGTCCAGGGTGCCTGTGATCTCAGTCTTGTTCCCGCCATTCCTGCCTGTATCCTTGCCTTACTGTACAGGTGGCATTCGCAGGAACAATTCGGAACAATAGCCATGAAACAATGTTCCTGGCATCACTTGGGCTTGGGAGCGGACAAGCACCCGAAAACGTTGAGCAGCAGCTTTCTCAGTCGACTTCTCCCCTGTTTAAGTGGCGGTAGCAATGAAAGTGAATCCACATCTTCCACTTCCGACTGAGGTGAGCTGTCATCAAAGGTGTCATCATCAGATTCACGGGGTGGCTTCCGAGACACAGTCACCCATCGCAAGCCCGCCCTACCCTCATTGCATGCTCCCGCGGCGAAAGGGAGCCGCAACTTCACCTCGCTCGCATCTGGACACATCTCACCTCTCAATTCCCCGGGCTCTGCATCTGCGAAGATGCCTTTGCGCTCGCAACGAAATACCGACAGACCGAAATGCGGAGGTTGGCCAGCGCTGGTCTTGCCCTCGTACTCGTGGTCAAAAGCAGCTCCTTCTAGGTAGGGGTCAAAGTCTGGGCCTTCAAAAAGGGAGGTGATCTCGGTCTCCTTCACGCTGACATGGAAGGTGCCATCCTCACGGAACTCGGCCCGTATAGAGGCCGTGGTGTTTCGACCAGCCGGACCTCCACGACGGCCACCACTTGTCAGTTTGAAAACCCCTGACGGATGCGCAGAGACTATCTGGGTCAAAAGCGTGCCATCTGCAACGCCGTGCTCCACAAGCACCCACTCGTCCTTCAGCTCCTCTGCACCGTGCAAGAGCCTGAGGAAGCCGACAGGCGTCTCCATCTTCAGCCTTGCCGAGAGCTGCATTTTGAGCTGCGCCACCGTCTGCTCCTCGGCAAAAGGCACGGCCAGCTCGTTACCCCCAGGCGTGCAGATCTGAAGCTGGCCCGTCATCTCTCAACCTCACAAGCGCCGGTCGCCGGGCTATGCTCCCTGTCAAGCAGCTTGAACAACGTTAACAACTGGAGGAGCCCATGGGGGTGTTTGGGCCCCCCTGTGGTGCTAGTACTTCCAAGGGTATTTGGTCACTTCTCTAGATGAAGGTCCCCTTTTGGGGTTGCTCCGATGATAAGGCGGCCCCAACAATATTCAGGGCACCCAACAAGGGACCATCATTTTGAGAACTACACATATAAGCAAATACATAAATAAATAAATAAATAAATATATATACTTATATATTATTATGATTATATTTATATTTACATGTACATTTATATTTGTATTTGTATTTATATTTGCATTTATATTTGAATTTATATTTATACATCAAACCTTAAACCCTACACCCTAAACTCTTAACCCGATGGTTGCCAACATCGAAACACATCCTCGAAGTTTACGGGCAAAGGACCCAGAGTTGAGAGGGCTTGAGGGCTTTGAGGCGGGCTCGGGGATCTGGGCCTTTTGTGGAGGGGCCTGAAGTTTTAGGGGCCTGGGGGTTTATTTTAAGGCCGGGGGGGGGGGGGGGGTTAGGGTTGGGGTGTGGGGTTTCGGGTTTAGGTTTACGCGGCAGATGCCCCCCTCGCAAGGAACTACAAGTCGGGGTCTTGGTAGCTCCTGAAAAGCACCCTCAAGTCGCAGTCTGTAAGAAGAAATGCGTCTTTTCAAGCCCGTTTAGAAAAGACCAAGGTGTAATGTAATTCTGTGCACCGCGGTGTTGAGAACAATTCGAGGCCCCTGTGGCGTAAAAGGCATATGGGGCTCAGCCACCACAGTGAAGAGAGCAGCCCGAGCGCGGCATTCCATACAAGCCCTACGAGTTCTGTCGTTTAGAGTGAAGCCGTCTTCGCGCTGGTACTACCCCACACTCAACTTCGAATACTGCACCGTCAACCCGAGTCCTGTGTCCAGGAGCATACGTCCTAGACCCTGCAGGGCACTCCCCTCTCCCCTTGACGCTAAACCCTAAACCCTAAGCCCTAACCCTAAACCCTAAACCATAGCAGACCCTCTAGGCCCTAAACCCTACACCCGCAACCCTCAACCCTCAACCCTAAACCCTTACAGTGCTACGCTTCGGTTGGCCGCCTGGGTCGAGGCGAATGATGCGCCGGCGTCCGATGCCGAGCAGCGAAATCACCTGGGCTCAGGCGCCAGTTTTCAGGGGAGCCGTGTAGGATTCAAAACTACCATGCGGTTTAGGGTTTAGGGTTTAGGGTTTAGGGTTTAGGGATTCAGAGTACCAGTACCCCTCAAAACGCCCCGGAATAAGGCCCTCATGGTGTACCTCAATTGGGGTAGTTAGGGTATCTTGAAGTTGGGGGGGGAGTCTATGGATAACCCTCAACCCTCAACCCTCAACCCTCAACCCTCAACCCTAAACCCTAAACCCTAAACCCAAGGGTACTTGGGGGGTTCTGGGCCTGGGAGTTTGGATCTGCGCCGTTGGCTCCACACAGAAATGAGCCTCGGAGTATAGAGCAAACACTAAGATGTAGGGTCTAGGGTTTAGGGTCTACGAGGTAGGGTCTAGGGTTTTGGGTTTAGGGTTTAGGGTTTAGGGTTTAGGGTTTAGGGTTTAGGGTTTTGGGTTTTTAGGGTTTAGGGTCCAGGGTTTAGGGTTTAGGGTTTAGGGTTTAGGGTTTAGGGTTTAGGGTCCAGCGTTTAGGGTTTAGGGTCCAGGGTCTAGGGTTTAGGGTTGGGGTTTAGGGTCTCTTGACAAGGGCGGCTTAAGAAGAACAGATTGCCTGAGGAAAGGCTGCAGTTCGGAAAAGCCCCCCGAACAAAGACACCCTAGTCCTAGACCCTAATTAAACCTTAAGACCTAAGACCTAAACCCTAAACCCTAGTGCAGCAAGGGCCAGGGTACTCCGCCCACCTTGCGCCACAAAGTACCGAGAGAGGAGTCAGACACGGGTGACAATCTGAGCTCCCCCCGCCTGCCTTAAAACCACCAAATCCAGCGGGCTGCCCTTCACCCCCTCGTTAGACCCGCTCCGTAAACCCGCAAACCCCAAAAACCCTCAAACCCTACTCCCTAAACCTTAGGCCCTAAACCTTGGGATATTCTCCCTTCTACCAGCAGTCCTTAATAGGGATTCTAGTACCCCTATTATCATCCCTACCAAGGACTCTTTGTATGGAAGGGAACATCCAAACCTAAACTTGGGGGTTCATGGTACTTCGTTACCAATTATAACTGCACTAATAACTGTACTTCTACACCATATTAGGGCACTTACGGGGCTTACACGAGGGTTTTAAGTGCAGTTAGAATTGGTTAACAAGTACCATGAACCTCCAAGTAAACCCTAGCCCTACACCCTAAACCCTAAACCCTAAACCCTAAACCCTAAACCCTAAACCCTAAACCCTAAACCCTAAACCCTAAACCCTAAACCCTAAACCCTAAACCCTAAACCCTAAACCCTAAACTTAAACGCTAACCCCTAAACCCTGAACCCCGGGGTGTCGGTAAGTGCGGCGCATTCTGGTGGTCCACGAATGTCTCCGCCAGTCCAGCCCAGTACCTCTCACGAGTTTGGGGTTTTCTGAGGATTCGGGTTTCGGGTTTCGGGTTTAGACAATGAATATCAGGTCCTCCTCTTGGCGCTGGCGCTGTACCTCCTCTTGGCGCTGGCGCTTTTCCTCCTCTTGGCGCTTCTATGACATCTTCGGGCCTGGAGAACTCTCTCCATGCGGGCGTGCGCTCTTTGGCGCAACAGTAAAGCGCCGGCAATGGTCGCGCACGAGGCGACCAGAGCCAAGCCCAGGTTGGGCGAGGACCCACGGGTGAAGGCCAAGGCAGACATGGCGAAGTAATCTGTCAGGTCCTGCAACATGGTGTCGGGGCAATGAATATATGAATATGGAAATACATACCTCTATAAGAAAGTGCATTATATATATATATATGTATATATATATACATATGTTTTTGTGTGTATATATATATGGGTATATGTATGTTTATTTGTATATATATATGTTCCAAGACCCACTCGCTCTTGCTTTTCTTCTTCTTTCCGGCGCAGTCTGCAGTTTGGAGTCTGGAGTCTCCAACTAAAATGCTCTTGGGCTGCTGATCGAACATTCGATCAGGTCGGCATATACCATGCCCAGCATACACCATGCTTGGCATATCCAATGCCTGGCACAGCCGGAAGCAGACCACGCCCTATCGAACTACTCAATCCCAGAAAAGCCACACACCTCAGCTACCCGAACGTCGGACTGGGATTGGGCGGGCGGGAAAGAAAGTTCGGGCTGCCGACGCAGGAGACTCCTGCGGAGGTGCCTCCTCCAGTTTGGCTCGGGCCAAGTCAGCAGCAGCGGATGGGTTCCTGAAACATGACGCTTCACCACACCTGCCCTATGCACAAAAGCGTGGATATAGTATATGTATGCATATATATATATATATATATACATACATACATATATATATATATATATACGTATACACGCATGTATGACTTTTATCACGAAACTATCGCCAAAAGCCTCCCAGCCGAGTCACCAGGCAAGGGCAGGCTTGGCCCACTTTCCGAAACCTGAACGACTCTTCAGCCCCGTAGCCGTAGCCCTAAGCCTCGGTTTAGGGTTTAGGGTTCAGGGTTTTAGGGTTTAGGGTTTAGGGTTTCGGGTTTAGGGTTTAGGGTTTAGGCATTCTGAAGCTTCACAGCATAGTAACCACTCCTTTCCCATCCCCCGCATCTAAGTGATGTCATGATGGCTTTCAATTGCTTATCTCATTTTACGTTCTTGGCAGAAATATTTGTTCCACATTTTTTTGCTCTGCGAATTTTCAAGGGCCTCAAGGGCTCCTCAACAACCAACCCGTAGGCCCAAAACCTTCAACCCGAGACCCAGAACCCAGAACCCCAATGCTTGGGGAGCGTCTTGTGGATTCTTCGCCTCAGAATTCCTAAACCCTAAACCCCAAACCCTAAACCTTTGAGCTATCCCCGCCCCCCAACCGTTTTGACAAGGCCTCGGCTTGGGGTCTAGAGCCTGGATCCTAAACCCCAAACAAAAAGCCAACCCTCAACCCTAAACTTGGCATGCTCCCCCTTATCCTAGCAGTCCTTAAGACCCCAAACCCCCTGTTAGTATAAGGGGGAACATCCCAACGCTAGACACTAAACCCAACAGGAAGGGGAATACAGGTATCATTTGGGCCTCCCGATCCAAGCCTTGGAACAACTCTGGGTTCTGAGAAGGCAAAGGGTGCCACCCTAAACCCCTAAATCCTGAACCCTACACCCTAACCCCTGAAACTCCGGTAACTTGAGGCTGGCGGGGGGGAGGGGTGTGAGCGGGTGGGTAGGGTAGGGTTTTGGGGCTACTTACAGGGTTTAACCTGGAGTTTGCGCTTGGGGGGTGTCGTTGTTCGGAGCTTATGTACATGGAGACTCATGCACTTCAAACGATTTGAGGGATCTGCGGCCTAAATTAGACACCCAAAGCTTGAGGAGCCCACTGAGCAACATCCTCCCGCGTGCGCAGATCCCGGATGTCCTGACGCAGGACCAAAGCCCCAGGACAAGGGTATGTTGGAGGTTAAGGTTTAAGGGTCAGGGCTTGTAGGGTTTAGGCTTACCTAGGATGCTTAGTAACCCAGGACTAGAAAGGGTACCCCTTTTTGCTCATAAAGGGGTTTATAAGGGAACCTAACCCCCCCAAAAAAGGGAATAAGGGCACTACCGGGCATCCTAGGCTTACAGGGAGATAATATAGGGGGTCCAGGTCTCAGTGCATCAGTGAGATTGGGTTTGGGTTTCAGGACGGGAAAGCACCACGAACGGCTTTGGGGGTTGTTCTGGCCACCGCTGTTTGAGACATGATCCTCTGTTTTGAGGCCGTGTCCCTCAACCCCAAACCCTAAACCCTAAACCGCCAACCCCTAAACCCTCACCCCTAGACCCCTAAGGACTAAGAGCGGAGACGCC